TGAGGGGAAGCACTGCGCTGCAAAGGCCAAAAAGAATAAGGAGAGCAGCAAAACCCCACTGCTTAAATGCAGCGTGGGTATCTGTGGGATCTGCCCATGGGCAATATGAGGAACGCATCAGTCACCAAGCAGCCGGAGGATGCTGTGAGCAGAGCTGTGCTGGTGACAAGGAATCCCTCCTGCCTCACTGCCAGCGCTCCTTTCCCACCTGATGGAGCCTTTCCCAGTTTGTAAATTCGCAGCACTGCGGTGGGAAGCAGAGCACTGAATCAGCCATGGGATGCAACTCTGCAGGGGGGGAGGATGGGAGAACCCCCCATGAGAGGAGGAGCCCTTTGCAGCTCTGCTGCGAGTTAAACCAGCAGCATTCAGCCTGCAGAAGGCACTCCGCTCTGCTCACTGCTGGCACCACGTGAGCACGTTGCTCACTTCTGCCCACAGATAACCCACAGAGAATGGAACTTGGTGGACTCTGCAGCCTGGGATGGCCCTGAGCTGCCCGGATGGCTGTGGGGGAACCACACAGCTGTGAGCTCTGCAGGGCCAGTGAGTGCCGGGGAACAGATTGCAGGCAGTAAGGACGGCCGTCGGCATGCAGAGCAATGATAAAAGCAGCTGCTGAAGACGAGTGGGGACACAAATCATCGGCGCGGAGGAGCTGTGAGCTCCCGGTGTTCCACTTGTGCTCTGCTCATCCCAAAAACAAGGCCAACAGCATCGAAATGTGACCACGAGCAGAGGACGAGTGAGGGAATCTTGGCCTGCGTAGCTTTGCAATGAGTTCACGGCACATTCCTGACTCCCCGGCCCGCTCCGAGCCTCCGGAGCTGAACACCATTTCTGTGCAACCAAATTACAGCTCGTGCACAGCCACAAACACGGCCACGCACCCCCCGCAGGCCGTGGCACGGCGCTCCCTGCCCCGCACACAGCAGCGGCGCTGAGCCCAGCAGCAGGAACACAGCGAGCTGCCCAGCGCAGCTCCATCCTCTGTGCCACCAACCCTGCAGCACCTCATCCATCTCCAGCACGGAGTTATGCAAGGCTCTGGCTCTGCGCCTCTGCAAACAACGGCAGAACATCACAAATTCACTGCGTGTTCTTTCTGGGTCGCAACGGGTCGCAGTCACAAACTGACAGCGTTTGCAAAACCACCTCGGGGGTAAGGAATGTACAACTTGAAGCGGAACCCGAAATGAAACGAGATGACTTTTTAATGAATGAGTTAATTAATGAGCACTTTTGGAATCAGATGCGTTGACCCGGCTGGGCAGTTCTGCAGGGAAGGAGGGCTCCTGCTTTCCAACTCCTTGCACACCTGCCCTTTTCTCATGGCTTCCCACAAACGAGGAATACCCTACAGCTGAGGCTGTAACACGATGGTAACAACAAAGGGAAGGCAAATGCAGAACCCTTCCAGATTGCTCCCTGCAGGGACGAGTTCCCCCCTCCCAGACTTTCATTTTTGCAGCCCAGAGCCCGGACGTCTGCAGACTGTTGCTGGATACCTCCAGTATCCAGACGGGCCCATATGTGCTTTTAGTGTTTGCCAGCACAGTGCTGGGGCTGGAATCAAACATTTCCAGGTTTTGTGTAGAAAGAATAAAACGGCAGAAGATAGATGAAAAAAAAAAGACCTGTTTCAGACAGAAAAGAGCAGAGCTGCTGCACGGTGGTGTGTGAATGCTTCTGGCTCCAAGGACATCCGCTGCCTTCGTTTTAGAGGGTATTTATAACAATTTTGGTTGTTTTTGTCAGTTCTCATTCTGTTTCATCAGACCCCTCTGCCAGCACAGTGCACTGCGGGGTGGGCTGGAGGATGGGAGCAGGAGGGATGTGCAGTGGGAATGGGAAGGTGAGCAGTAAATGGTAAAGCACTGCGTGCCCCATTTAAAAGTCCTTGGGTTTCCCACTTGTTTCAGTCTGGTTGATTAAGGCTGTGAAACCAGAGCTTGTGATGGTGAACTGTGGGACTGGGTGTGTAAATGGCCCTCGGGTCTCACCCTGCAGGGAAAACGTGTTTGTGAAAAGAAGGAGAGACGGGGTTTCAGCTTGAAAATTTGTCTTATAATAAAACAAACTAAGAAGCTCAAGATCTCACGTTCCTAATGCTCCATTTTGCCATCTCCCCAGCACTGAAACTGCAGGAAGATGGACAGTGGGACAAAAACGTAACCGCCCCATACAGGTGTGATGCACAGAACTACAAACTACGGCTCTGCATCCACCACCTCACACACTGGGACTGCTCTGTGGCTGCACCCAGGAGGTTACCATCACAACGGCACTTAGCAGAGCTGTCTGAAGAGCTCCTTCCCACTGGGCAGCCCAGGGCGTTTGGTTTTGCTCTCCTCAGGCACACAATCAGCCTGTGTGCCTTCCTTGCCGCGTGCCAAGCTTAACCAGAAGTCATTGCCAATGCTGTCAATGAATATCCGGAGGGAAATTTTTGTCAGTGCTCAGAAATGAGAAACAATAGCCCAAGAGTCATAGTGGAGAGAGAGGAAGGAAATAGCCAGGCTGTCATAAAACTCGCGGGAATGAGAAAATTATGGAATACATAAAAATACACACAAAATATATTTCGGTGTGTAACAGTTGTGTGTTTTTCCCATTGGAAGAGGTGAGGAAACTGAATTTTGCCCTGACGAATGCGGGGCGTGTGCAGGATGGTGAAAGCTGTGCGATGAAATCCCCAGCAGTGTCAGGGCAGCGAACAGCAGGGTGGGCTGCACCCCCCGCAGCTCAGCTGATCTTTTCCAATTCAGGTGTTTGAAGCAGAAACATTTCACCTCCCCAGACTGCAGTCTGTCTGTACGAATGGCAGCACACTTCTGATTCGTAAACACAAGGCTGTGGATATTCTTATTTCTCAATAAATACAAGAGAATAGGATAAGTGGCAACGCTTTATTAGGGTAGTGATACAACCCAGACCAAAGGGAAGCAGATCTTCCCTTCCACAAAGACAATAGGCATCCTGCTTGACCACATCCTTTAATCCCAGCCCTGGAATTACTCACTCGTGAAAGCTCCTTAATTGTATTTAAATACATAGGCTTTGCCATGTGTAAGCTGTAATGCTGGTCAGCACTTAGGATCATGACACTCATTTCCATTGTTCTCCAGGTATTTGGGAAAATAAACCTGACAACTCAAACAGCCTCTGGAATAATTGTAGCTATTACAGCCATTACCTACCCAAATTTGGGTATTTTTGGAGTGGGGAAAGCCTCATTTCGTGGGCCAGCTGAGCCAAGCAATTAAATGGGAATAGAAGCTTTTGTTCCCGTTCGGTACCTCTCGATGCTTTACTGCTGGATGTGTGTCTGCTGGCTGAGCTGCAAAAATGAAACAAATGCGTGCAAAGAGAATGGAATCGCTGGGCCATTCTTCTGATTCCCAGTGCAGTGCCCACTTCTGCACTGCGCCTGGCACAACGCGGTGCCTTCTGGAAGGCAGGGTGAAGATTTAAAATGTCAGGGATCCACGAGAACCCGCACAGCACGGACTGCAGTTACGCCTGAGGCTCTTCCCAGTCACCTGCATGTGGGGAATACGACGGATCCTTTTTGTGACAGCCAACTGAGTGAGCTGATAAGGGAAAATTACTCGGTTTGCTCTTCCATCTCTGGTTAAAAAAAAAAAAGAGAAAGCAGGAAGTTAAAAAGAAAACTAAAAAAAATAACCTCTTAATAAAGAATGCTTCATGTTCCACTTCTTTTCCACTCATTTCTCCCCCACGTGGGTTTCGGGCAGGGATCTAGGAAGATTCCCACACTACTGGAAGCAATATTTATGTACTGAAGTTGACAAAGGATAACGTGTTCTGCCAGATGCTCGTACAACTTCCTGACCTTCAGGACAAAAATAGCCATGGTAGTCAGAAATGGTCCAAATTAAGTAAAAAACCCATCATTTTGATGGACACTACGGGAGCAGAGCCCTGTCCAGACCTTCGTGTCGTTACAGAGCATCTCACGCTGTCCCTGCTGGGGATGCAATGTTATCAATGCCGGCTCTGAAGTTCACAGCCATCCATCCGTTCAGCTCTGCTTTTTATTGGAAGGAAACACTAGAAATCTCCTCGATCAGCTCGGAACGGCCACGTGAAATCCTTCAATACAACAACTGAAGGGCAGATGACAGAGAACGGGAAGAAATACCAGGGAAAGGGACGAAACAAGACGGAACTCTTCTTTATTGGGAAGAAAATAGGAAAAAACGCGAGGCAGCACAGGACGAGCAGCGCCGTGCGCTACGCCGGCTGCTCTGACACGGGGCGAGGACCCCCCCCACCCCGTTCCCCCAACTTCCCACCAGCCCGTCCCGCGCATGCGCCCCGCCCCGCCCAACCCTCGCGAGCCTTCGGCTCGCGCCGCTCCCGACCCGAAGTCCCAGATGGGCGTGGCTTCGCTCGGCCCCTCCCCTCCGTTCCGCCCGCCCCTCGGTCTCTGCTGATTTTCTGGTTAAAGAGCCCGCTCTCGCGTTTTTCGCTCCGGGCGGGATGCGCGGTAGGCGAGCGGCGCGGAGGAACGGGACGGCGGCGGTCTGAGGGAGCCGAGCTCGGTGCCCGGAGAGCCGCGCGGGCCTCGCTCTGCCCTCGGGGTTCGTCGGAAAAGCCGCCGACGCGGCGACGCCGAACTCTCCGCCCTCCCGCCCGCCCGCGTGGCTTTGCGCGCTGCCAGCCGGCGGGCGGAACCGCTCGGGGCGGAGGGGCGGGCGCAGGGAGTCCCGCTCCGGCCGGTAACTTCCCGCAGCTCGGCACGGCGGGGCCGCGCCGCCGCCTGGGCCCGCGCGATGGGGAGCGGCGGCCGGCGGGACGCAGCGGCGGCGGGGGGAGCGGGCAGCACCTGCCCGGAGCCGCGCCGCTGAGGAGCCGGGATCCACCCGGAGCGCAGCGCAGCCCGGCACCGCGCCCGCCTCGGCCTCGGGCCGCTCCAGGAGGCCTCCGGGGGGCGCCGCCCCGCCGTGCCGCGCCGGGGTTGAGGGGCCGCCGGCGGGGCCGGGCCGCGCGCTCCGTGCCGGGCCGGGGGACGTGCGGGGCACGGCGGGAGGATGAGCGCGGCCGTGGAGCCCAGGGTGAAACAGGCGCTGCGGAAGAAGCCGGCGGAGAGGACGCAGGAGGTGAGCGAGACCGGCCGCTTCGGCACTGAGTTTGCTGCTGTTTTAAAACGTGACAAAATCATTTCTTTTTTCTTCTTTTCCCCGCAATCCGTGCCCGCTGTGCGCTGCCGCACGGCCCGGTTCCGGCGCGGTGCCGTTGCCCGGCGCTGCCCCGCGTGGCTCCGGGCTCGGCGCTGTGGCTGGGCGCTCCTCGCGGTGCGAGCCGCCCGTGCCGCTCCGTGCCGGCCGGGGCTGCGGTTCCGTTCCTTGAAAACAAACTTCTCGCCGTGGTTGCACGCGCGCTCGGCGCTGGCTGGCACGGAGCGGGGCTGCGCCCTCCGCTCGCGGCGCATCGGATTTGTGCCGCTGTGCTCTGCCTTCGTGGTGAGCTGCTGCTGCTCGCTGCTCCCTTTGCTGTTTCTTTTCACCCCCTTACTGCAGACTTTTTCCCGTCCGCAGAGTTTCCTCTGTGCCGCCGCGGTTTGCAGCTGCCCACTGAGCCCCGTTGAGGCGATGGTGTCCCAGTCCTGGAGGTGCCCGATGGGTCCTGAGCTTTGGGGTGAGCTGCCCGTGGCAGGAGTGGCTCTAGGGGGGCTGGGAAGTCCCTCCCAACCCAACCGTGCTGTGATTCACGTTATGGTTCTATGAAAGCCTAAGTTTTGTGTAGCTGTGCGACTTTAATCTGACAGCATTGTGATGCCTGGATGCTCAGACCGTGCATGGGGTTCACGTGGATTTGTGTCCGTGGGGAGATTCAGGTTGGGTGATATGAGAAACTTCTCCAAAGAGCAGTGAGGCACGGCTGCCCAGGGAGATGGGGAGCTCCTGTTCTGGGGGTGTTCCAGAGCCGTGGGGATGTGGCACTGGGGGATGTGGTCAGTGTGCATGGTGGGGTGGGCTGTGCTTGGGGATCTCAGAGGGCTTTTCCAACCTGAATGATTCTGTTTCATGGCTTCGTGTAGGTTTCTGGAGGTTCCCATGGACTCTGCCATCAGGGCTGCGTGCAGGTTTGATTTTTTTTGCAAAGGTGTCTCAATTCTGGAGGAATTAAAATAAAAATAATTTGCTAGCCTAACAGCACCTCTTAAAAATGATTAAAAAAAAAAAAAAAAAAAAAAAAAAAACAACCAAAAAAACAAAATAATCTTAATTCCCTTGCTGATGTGGCCCCTTTCTTGGCAAGCACTTAGAGACACCGAGCTGCCCAACTACTTGTGATTAAAGTTAAACACGTCCCTGCAGCTTGGCAGCACTGGGGCCTCTGTTCTCACGGGGCGGGTGCTCGCAGCCAAGAAGCTTTGTTTCTTGGATCCTTTCTGTCTGTATACATTCAGCAACCGGCCTGATCTGAGAGAGGCATTTCCCTGCCTGGAGAGCCCCGTGCACCTGGGAGCTGGGACAGCAGATGGGGATGGGGTGATAAGGGAACCGCAGGAAGTGATTGCAACAGGGATTTAATTTCTATTTGGTCACGGTGCGGAGCATCCTGGCACACCCCGTGCTGGGCAGGAAGCACAGAGCTGTGCCCAGTGTCCCTCCCTGGCTGTGTGCCGGTGACTCGGCCGGGAAGCATCCAGCTGTGCATGGGGAAGAGCTGTGGGCTCCCTCCTACTCTCCTAGGAAGGCATCGTCCGCTCCTCCCATGTGCATCCATCCAGCTGCATGCAGGAGAAAACCACCCTGATTTTTCCTCAGCTGTGGCTGAGATGTGGTGATGAGCTGAAACTTCTTGTCTCGGTGGGTTTTGGTCCCTGTTGGTCCCTTCCTGCTCCTCTCTGATCCTGCAGCTCACCTGGCTGTCCCAAATTACAGGCTGGGGCTGTGCTGATTAGTGGCACGGGCTGTGCCTGCAGCAGCTCGTGGAAAAGTACAGGTAAATAACACCACGTCAGTTTTCACTTACGGGTGCTGTGATTCTTTCTATGGCTTTTAGGACTTTATCTTGACAAGATGTGTTCATTTGTGAGCTGTAAGGTATTAAGCAGGAAGATATTAAAACCTTTTTACAACTTATTCTGGAGAATATCTTGATGGTTTGCCCAAGTAAAAATTTTAATTATCGGTGCAACAACTATTTTTGTTTGGAAAAATGTCTGTTAGGGCAAGTTTTCAGCATTGTGGTAGCATTCCAGTGCTTGCTAATTGGGAAAGTGCATAACTTATGCATATTAGACATGTACACACTTGATTTTTTTTTTTACTTTGGGTGTTGTTGCTCAGATGCTTGGTGCGTTAACATTGCTGAGTTCTTGGGGAGGGGTTGTTCTGGTGAACTCCTGGTATTATAGCTAACGCTCACTGATAGAATTTGATGGCTATTTTGTTGCCCTGTGTGGCAATTTCAATTTCCCCTTGGAACTACTCAAATTTGGGAAATCCTGGCATTTCTGTGCTTCCATGCATGGCTGTGGTGTTGTCTGGCACATCCCTGCTCTGTGCCTCGTGTCGCAGGTGGGGATATTGAATGAGCAATTTGGGAGTATTTTAATAGGAGGAAACGGCTTGTTCAAAGCGCTGGGAGGGAAGGGCGAACGTTCATGGCACTGTGTGCGCTCTCATTAAAGGCTTCACTTTTTCGAGGCCTGGAATTCCTTATCTGATCCATACAAAGGCTGTGATGTTGGTCTGTTGGGAGTGGTTTTACAGCAGATAGGGTCTCAGTGGCTGATAGAGTAAAACAGAGCATGGTTATGCCTCTTTTTCTTCCTTTTTTTCCCCTTTAACTCCTATGAGCGTGCTGTCCTCCATCTCCAATAGATCTCTTTCCCAATGCAGGCATCTCTCAGTTCTTCGTGACTTTGCTCTGGACAACACTGCCTTTGCATGGCCAGAAATCTTTTGCTTTTATTGGGCTTTGAAGAGTCAGAGTTCATTTTTATACTGTGAGCTCTTGTATTTTCCTAACTTTATGCTATGTCTTGTCTGGGTATTTGTGATTAATGTTAATTCAACTTGATTTGGCAATACCGACTCCTCCTTCTCTTCCTGTTCCCTTTTTATTAATACAGTGGAAAGGGGAAAAAAAACCCCTAATTTACACAGTTGTGTCATAACAGAGTCTGCTATTTGGAGCGTGCATGTGATGCTTCTCGACAGCTCATACACAGAGATTTAGATCTGTGTGGATCTAAATCATGCACAAATAGTGCATTGATGGGCATTATAAAATGGCTGTAATAAATAAAATACATTATTGCTGACAGCGTAACAAAGGCACTCTTGTACTGTAGCACAGCTGAGCCAAACAGAGGAGAACATCTGCTTCTTGTTTCCAGAAGTAACTCTTATTTTGATGTGTGTTTTTCATCCTTTTTAATAACTTTCTGTAAACTCCGTAGGTGAAGCAGTGGGTTTGGCTTTGCTCACATTGGTGCTTTCTGCAGCTCTCACTGTGCTTGTAGCAGTGCATGATGATGACAGTGTCGTTCTTGAACAGTTGTTTAATGTAATCAGGACTGTACACTCGCTACAAACTCGAGCTTCTTGCAATTATCCTAACACCAAAAAGAGATGGGTATTGAATGAAGCTGCATGTGCTGCTTCGTGTTTAATAAAAATTCCTCCTTGTATGTTGGCTCTTCCAAAACTGGCAAAGGCTGATGATGGAAACCTGACCCTTGCCATGATTTCCTACTGCTTCACCTCTCTTAGCTTTTTCCCTGTCTTTTTTTTTTTTTTTAATGATAAGTTCTTTTATAGCCAAGCTTTCTAAACCGTAGTAGGCAGACAGCAGTTTTGGAGCTCCAACTGAAGAGCAGTGGTTGTGCTGTGTAAAATAGCAGATTTTTTTGTGGCTCTGTGTTTTGGTGCCTTTGTAAGGAGCTCCCAGACAGTGCTGCCCAGACTGAAGGACTGCCCAGCGCTGTGCATCCTCAGCTCCTCACCTTGCAGGGCCCCTGGGCTGGTCTGTGTGCAGCTGCAATGAAATGGAGAGAGGCATCTCAAATTCATAGGCTTGTAGAATGGCCTGGGTTGAAAAGGACCACAATGCTCACCTGGTTCCAACCCCCTGCAGGGTCACCAACCAGCAGCCCAGGCTGCCCAGAGCCACATCCAGCCTGGCCTTGAATGCCTGCAGGGATGGGGCATCCACAGCCTCCTTGGACAAACTGTTCCAGTGCCTCTGTGTGAAAAACTTCCTCTCAATATCCAACCTAAACCTCCCCTGTCCTATCACTATCTCAGTTTTAAACCATTCCCCCTTGTCCTATCACTATCCACCTTTGTAAACAGCCATTCCCCCAGTGCATTGGTTACCTCTGGGTTGAGAAGGAGATTGCAAATGTATCTGTACATGTTTGCAATTTACTGCTAATAAATTCCTGGTTGGATAGTTCCATGCTGTATGCAGATTGCCCTTTTGTACTCATCACAACAATTACTGTTTGCAGTTACAAGAATATAAGCGTTGTAATATAATTATGAATACTTTACATGCAGCCTTGTGGAAAAAATAAGCCACGTTGGTGGCTGACAGCTCTTAGTGTCTTTGGAAGGGGGAGTGATGCTCTCTAATGGATCCTTCTCCATCTTTCATTTCAACAACCCCAGTAGAGCCCAGTCAATGCAGGTATTGCTGCCTGGTGCAGGTGGTGTGTAGTGTCCCTTCCTGGGGCTGACAGCAACAGATCTCTTCTAGATAATGAAATTATCTGGCATTGCTAATCTGTCGTGGCTGAGCACAGGATTCATGCCTTTTTGGAGTGCAAAGTCTCACTTAAAATTAGTGGCATTTTTCTGTGTTTTTTCAGTTGTTTTCCTCACTTGGGGGGAGTATAGTTGGTTTGTCTGCTTCTTGGCGTGGCCAGAAGTGCTCATTGATGTGGTGTGGGTTTCAGTACGCTTCCAGAGACCAAGCAGTGGCTGTCAGCACAGTGAGGCAGTGGATGGTGCATAGGAGCAGTGGTGACAGCAACAGTGGGGGTTTGCTGGTGCAGGTTTGTATGAGCACAGCATGCAGCTCTTATTCGTTGCTGGCAGAAATGCACAGCCAGTGGTGTTGGAAAGAGTGTTTTGTAGCA